TAATCAGAATAGGGTTTTGGGGTTTAGGGCTTAGGGTCTAATGTAGGGGCCTTGATAATCAGAATAGGGTCTTGGTGTACATTATCCTATAGCTCTAACAAGGAACCCCCAAAATAGTATTGACAGTTATATAGGCCCCTATGTATTAGATCCCTGCCTTAGGCGCCGGTCTACGACGTACGGAGGAAATCGGGATGCAGGCATTCACAATTTTCCGGGGTGAAGCTTTAGGGCTCCATTGAAACATCAAGCCAACTGGAGTCGTCAAGATTTCGAGCTTCCCTTGTTGCGGTGACCTGAGCCAGCTCAGATCACATTAGACAGCCTATCCAAACCCTCCAAAACTCAAAAACACCACTGCAAAATAATAAAACTTACTGTAGCTCTACATAAACCCTAAACCCTAAACCTTGGACGTCACCCTGGCGCACAAGGCGCACACAGGTCCAAACATCGTGCCCGATCAGGAACGTGGCGATGTGGATCGTAAACGTAGCCTGAGTAAGGTTGATCTCTCGGGTTGATGATCTTAACGCATGGGTCCTCTGTATAGCACTTAAATGTAGATTTTTGAGGTTCGACGGGACGATTCTGGCAACTTGAAGGTGTGCCTACCGGTCTGGCTGCTATTGCCGGCTGCTAGTGTTCTCTTAGAACACACACACACAGAGATATTTACATATTTATACATATATATATAGATAGATAGATAGCATGTGTTGTTCACTTGCTCTGGTACTACGTTGCTACGACTCTGGTATTCCTGCTCTTGTGTCGCTCACGGATACTGCGCTGACAAAGAAGACGAGCAGCTGCATCCCTGGCCCTGTCACTGAAGAAACTTTCAGGTCTGTGCCACTGCGTGGCTGGGTTTAGGGGTTTAGGGCTTAGGGTGAATACCACTACGGAGTTACGGCAGGTGTTCCTCTGAGCACACAAGCTTTCTCAAACCCTCAGACTCAAGACCCCAAGCATGGACCTTAAAACCCTAAAGTCCCAAAACAACGGCAAACCCCCAAGCCCTAAACCGTCCTAAGCAATTCAGAACCCTGATGGAACCCTTTGTGGAACCCTTTGTGGAACCCTTTTCGAAGCCAAAAGGGAACCCGTGAAGAAAGCCAAGTCGCTGCGACGGCCTCTGAGTGGCATAGTGGGGCGGGTCAGGGGTGTAAGAATTAGGGTTTAGGGTTTAGGGTTTAGGGTAGGTGTGCGAAAAAAAAGGTTTGGGGTCTATGGGTTTAAGATTTAGGGTTTAGGGGCTGGGGTTTATGAATTGAGCGCACTATCGGGCTTCTCCAACGGATACTGAACGTAAGGCTACTACTATAAGGGCTACTTCTGAGGTCTGGCAGGGTTATGCAGGGTTGCACCTAGCTGGTCCATGACGGGACATGTCAGAAGCCAGGCTTCTGACAGGGTTCTAGGTGGTGCGGGCATTTAGGGTTCACTGCTTTGGGGTCTCTTCTAGGGCTTTTGGGGCTCGGAGGTCGGATGCTTGAGGTTTAATACAGGGGTCTGAATCATTAGAATAGGGTTTTGGGGTAGAATGTACGGCCAAAATAGTAGAGTATGCTTTGCTTATAATCAGGAACCCCCCAAAATAGGATTGGGAATTATTTGGGCCCCTATATTTGGGCTCTGTGTTGATGCTTCATCGAGGTGGCTGCAGATTTAGGCAGCGTGGGGCGAGTTGGTGCTCCGGCATTGTGGATTCTCGTACATGCTCCAGAGAGCCCCATGACTTCCGGGCTTCGCAGCCCTAAACCCTAAACCCTAAACCCTAAACCCTACCCTAAACGCCACAATCTGGGGGCCACAGAGTCAAGGCACAAAGCCGAAGCCCAGAACCAGAGAAACAAAGAGAGAGAGAGAGAGAGAGACACACACACACACACCCGCCGAGAGAGACAGAGAGCGAGCGAGAGCTAGAGTAGTGAGAGCTAGAGCTAGAGGGACCTAAACTTTTAAACCCTAGCCTCTAAACCCTAAACCCTAAACCCTAAAACCCTAAAACCCTAAAACCCTAAACCCTAAATCCTAAACCTAAACCCCAAAATCTAAACCCTGAAGGAGGGAGGGCAGGGAGCTGACGATTCCAGGGCTTCGAGCTGACGAACAAGATGATTTAAACCCTGCCTTAACCCCAAAGAACCTACCTTTTTAAGGACTTATATAAAGAAGCTATAAATAAGGAACCCTAAAAACGTAGGTTATTTGGGGTCCAGGTAAACCCTACTGTTGACTTTTTCTGGGTTCAGCACGTGCGTTTCGGGCCCAGGGGGCCGATCTCGAGGCCGAAGATCCTCAACCCAAAAAGCCCCAAACCCTAAATCCTAGATCCTAAACCCCCAAACCCTAAATCCTAGATCCTAAACCCCCAAACCCTAAATCCTCGATCCTGAAACCCCAAACCCTCAATCCTTGATCCTAAAACCCCACGCCCCTAAATCCCAAACCCTAAACTCTTGACCCTGAACCCCAAGTCCTAAACCCTGTAGAGGTTGCTAAGTCCGCAGCTTCAACAAAAGGTCAGAGGATCAAAACCTCCGGGCTTAACCGGGGGGTTAGGGTTTAGGGTTTAGGGTTTAGGAGGGTTTAGGGTTTAGGGTTAAGGGGTTAAGGAGCTAAGGGGTTTAGGGGTTTAGGGGTTTAGGGTTTCTTGTCAAGGAATTCGATTTACCGCGCATACTGTTCCATGATAGATCCCTATTCTGGCAACCTACATTTAAGCTCCTCAACAAGAAGGTGTAGAATTTACGGGTGGGGCTCGCAGATTGCGAATTTTAGTGTTGATCTGGGGCTTTGCGATTCAGGGTTTCAGCAGTCCCTGGGACCCCGAAACCTTATTGCCAAAACCTTTTGATGCGCTGAGAGCGCGGCGATGCAGTCAGTCACATGCCTCCACTGTCCGTAGCGCACATCGCGCCAGTGATTATTTGACCTCACTGCCAGTTAGCTCGCAAATTAAGTAGTGAAGTTATAACAGCAACGGATGCAAAAACCCACCACAGCCAGCTCAATGCAAACCCGTGGCTAACAAAGAACCCACCTTAAAAGGATTACAATCGATTACTCAGGGGGCCTAATTCCTAAACCCTAAATCCCAAACCCTCAGGCCGAAACTCTAAACCCTAAACTCCATCAGCAGCTACAGCCTTTTTCCGTCAACACCAAATCCTACCCATAGGCCCCTAAGTAGTTCCTTTTTGGGATTACCTTACAGGATTCTAAATATAAACCATAAAAAGGAACTACTTAGGGGCCTATGGGTAGAACATGGGACTACCTTTCTCCTTCCCCGGGTTTAGGGTTTAGGGCTTTGGATGTAGAGCTTCTTAAAGCTTTAACTCTTTACGTCAAGGTCTGCGGGGTTTAGGCCGGCTTAGGGCTCTAAAGGTTAAAGTTTGTGGGCTTTATATGGGGCCTTAATACATTAATAGTTGGAGTGGGGTGTCGGGGAAAGAGGACACCAATACAAATGATTCCAACCCCTCTGTTGCGGTTACCTTACATCCACAGGAAGCTGAAAGGAATAGCAATTAAAGGTTTTGTGTGTCGGAAGTCAAGACATGGAGGTGAGATTGGGTATGGGGGAATGACTCGATGAGAGAAAGTAAACCCTAAACCCTAAACCCTAACAGAGCCAAGGCACACCAAAGTCATTCCGCACAGGCTCAGCAGCAGCAGAGGATTGTCCTGCACTACACGCCATAAGCAGCAGAACCCATCCTGAACCCTAAACCCTAAA